CAACATTTGGAGAGAAAAAAAGGCTATGGCCTAGTTTTCTCTGTGTGAGGGCAAGCTGGGCTGGCTTCCAAGATGTGCCTGCTGACCTCTGCCCTCCCCGCTCTCCAAGGGAGTCTTCAATGCCCAGCCTCACACAGGAGCGAGTTGATCAGAATGTGTTACCTTTCAGCTTGTTCCACGCATCCCACTTGGCTTTGCCCTTGAGGTCCAACAGCCCTGGCCGATCTGCAGCAAGGGAAGGGCAGACACTGTTAGGTTTGCTACAAGTTCTAATGGAGAACTTTCAACTTACTCCCATGAGAGCCAAGAATATGTTATTGTTGTTGTCTTTTGTTTTTCAAGGCAGGGTTTCTCTGCATAGCCTAGACTGTCCTAGAACTCACTCTATAGACCAGATTGGTCTTGAACTCACGGAGATTCACCTGTCTTTGCCTCCTGAGTGCTGGGATTTCAAAGGAGTATGCCACCACCCCTTGGTGCCAAGACGTTTTTTTATAACATTATTTTTATTGATTATTATCATGAATCCCAACAATGCTTCCTAGTCCTTCCAATTCCCCCTTCTAACCCTCCCCCCAAGAAAAAAACCCCAAACAAACCAAGTCCAATTTGTGTTGCTCGGATACTCCCTGGAGCATGGTTAAACTCCCAGTGGCCTGCCCCTTAAAGAAAACTGAATCCTTTCCCTCTCCCAACCCAGCCAGAAGCCATCAATTGTGGACAGCTACACTCCAGCATCCTTATCACGGTTTTTGAGAACTCCTAGTGTCTCACACAGTGGGTTCTATTGTAAGAAACCCAGACGGGCTTAAAGCAACCCAAACTTAAAACTGAAAGAAGACAGGATTTAAAAAAAATGTCCTTAGGTTTCTTAAACCGTAAAGTTAAAGGTTTAAAACCCGATGTTTTACTTTACAAAACAAAAAACACATTCTTCTTTGGAGCTGGGATGAAGCTTAGCTGGCAGATGCCTCCCTCAAATACACAAGGGCCCTGGAGCGCTTCCGCATATATGAACAGGGAATGGTGACACATGCCTATAATCCCAGCACTTCAGGAAGTAGAGGCAGGAGGTGCAGGAATTTAAGGTCATCTTGGCTACACAGTGGGCTTGAGGCCAGCCAGGCTATATGAAGACTTGTCTCAAAAAAATATAATAATACAATAAAAGAAACTAGGCAAGCATGGCGCTCACACCCATAATGCCAGCCACTCCAGGGGCCACGGGGGCAGGAGGAGGGAAAGTTCAAGGTGTGGCCTACAGAGAACTTAAAGCCAGAATGAGTGGCTTCGTGAGATTCTGTTTCAAAATTAGAAAAATATTAAGTAATAAAAGGCTTAGGGATGTGGCTAGTTGGCAGCATGTTTGCACAGCATGCCTCAAATCCTGGGTCCGAGCACCAGCACCAGATAAGCACAGCATGGTAATTACTATCTGTAAGGTGGAAGCAGGAGGATCAGAAATGTTATTTTTGGTTATACAGTGAATCTGGGCCAGCCTCAGCTACATGAGACTCTCTCTATCTTAAACAAAATAGGGGGTGAGGGAGGGGAGACTAAAAATCCTCAAAACCAAACCTGTACTTTAATCAAAATAAATAAATAAACAAACATCCATTTATGTGGTTCAGAATCCAAAAATTCTGAAAAAAAATAAGGCTGGAGAGATGGCTCATCGGTTAAGAGCACTGGCTGCTCTTCTAGACGGCCTAGGTTGGAGTTCCAGCACCCACATGGCAGCTCTCAAATGAAACTCCAGTTCCAGGGGATCTGATAACTCTCACACAGATATACATGCAGGCCACACACAAACACACATGAAATTAAAACAATAACAACAACAAACCTAAAAAACGACTTGGAAAAGAGATGCTATTAGATTCTTTGCCCATCCTCTTCTCTGCTTCCGGTTTCCCTCCGAGCTGCGTTACTGTTATCTGGGGGGCCTCTGGTGCCCTTGCCTGTACTTGTCTTTAAAATGTAATGTTCACACATCGCCTGACTCCTTCTTGCTGATTTCTAGGTTTTGTCTGAGGACCGCGCTGCTTCTAGAGCACCTGCCATTCTGCCATTCTTCCTTGGGGACAATTTCATTGCTAAGAGCAGAAACTGCAGAGTGTACAGCTTGGGGCACTGAGTCTGAGAAAAAAAAAAAAGTTCCAGGAACCTCACAGGAAGACCATGCCTGCAAGGGAACCCTCAGAACCCCAGAGGAAGCCTCCTGCCAGTCTGTTCTCCCTAGATGGAAATGTACATTTGCAACATCCAGGTAATTGATTTATCTATGGGGTGCACGTGTGCATGCCACTGTGCAGGCGTGGAAGGCACACGACAGCTTTTGGGAGTCAATTTTCTCCTTTTACCAAGTGGGTCCTTTAGATAGGCATGGCAGCAAGAGCCTTTCCCTGCTGGCTGTTCCACTGGTCCCTGTGACATCTAATTCAGAAGTCACTTGCCCCCTGTGGCCACTGAGCCTTGAAGCACAGCTCATGCAGCTACAGACTGGGCTTTGGGCATTACTTAGGTTTAGCTGTTTTCAGCTAAAACCCATATAACCACGTGTGGCTAGTCTTTGTTGTATTGAACCAGTACAGCCATAAAAAAAACAGACAACAGTCCCTTGATCAGGCAGGGGTGGGTTCCATGCTAGTCTACTGAGGCTTATATATATGCCAGCAGGTACCTATAGCTTGGCTAGAGGTCAGGCTCTGAGAAAATACTATCTAGCAGAAAGCATCCAAGCCTCCCTGATCCCTTCCCACTGCCTTCTACTTCTGGATGTTTATAAGCCCTCAAATCTCTGAGCCACTCCGGCTCCAGTGGAGTTGGAGGCAGCTGAGGCATACATTTCCTTCTGTGCTGTCATGAGTCCTTGCCAGAACACACTGTGCTGCTATCTCAGTATATAGTCACTGCCCAAGACAGCAGAAAAGACAGTATTATAGACCAAGGTAACCCATAGCAAAGTTTCAAAATCTACACCAAGGGGCTGGAAAGATAGATCGGCCAGTAAAGTACGAGGATCTGAGTTTGAGTCCCAGGACTGATGTGGGAGAGAAAAAAAATATAAGACCATATGGCAGCCTGTGCTTCAGACCCTCTCTCAAAAGGAAAAAAAAAAAAAAGCCAAATACCAAACGTTTTTAAAAAAAAAAAAGAAAGAAAGAAAGAAAGAAAGAAAGAAAGAAAAATCTGCCCAAGATTTTTGGATAGGGAGAATTGACATCTGGATAGGGCAGACTTGGGCCAGCAGCACTTCCAACTTGGCGCAGGGACCAAATATATCCCTGCTCATCTATTAGGCTTGAGGAGGCTGCCAAGCGCTCCATGACCCTGTTCATCTGATGGAAACGGTAGGTTCAAGAAAGCTACTGCTGAGCAACAGGGCTTAGAGCAAGCTTCCTCTCTGGGGCCTTTGCTTCCTTCATAGTAGATGCTGAGATAATCAGTAAAGTCCTTCTAAACCCACACTGAATCTGCTTCCAGGGTCACTAAGAGTTTAGGGAGATGGTCTTTGTAGGTGAATATCTCCCGGCTTAAAGTCTTGACACCAATGTTCTGCCATCACGTCTTGCCTGAACAAGTGCCTCAGGCAGTTGGAAAGTGAAGTTCTCAGACTCCTGGGCTGCCAAGCCAACTTGGCCCGCTCTGACGAGAAGTTGGGCATACCTGTATTTACATCACCCACAGTAGCTTGTTTGAAGTGACTGTAGACAAACAGCATCTCTTCATCAGTTGGCTGGGTCTTGAGGCGCTTCACCTCCTCAGCAGCTTTGTCAAATTCAGCCTAAGAGAGAGGGAGAGGAACGAGATGCAGGATGCCTGAGTGGGAGAGGTCCAGGGATGGATGGGAAAGTGGAAAGCAGCATTCCTCCCAAACTCCCTCTTCTTGCCAAGATTCCCTAAAGGCCCACCTGTCCACTCATGCAGTTACAGCACTGTGTCAAGTGCTGGGAATAGACTTGGCTCACAGTGGAAGTACACGCCCTTGAAAATTTTTGTGCCCAACTAACTGCCTGGGCCACCACTGGCCCAGATCCAGTAGTTGCTGGGGTTCCAGCAAAGCCCCGACCTATGATCAGCGGTGATTGACTGGGCAGCAAGGGGAAACGTGGCGTGATCAAAACAGTCGATCAGGGTTCAAGACACGAATGCGGTGGAATCCAGGGTTGGGAGCCAGCTGGTCCCTTCCTACTGGGGCCTGGAGTTCAGCGATGACCTCTGTCCCAGTGCCCAGATTAGGGAGAGGCAAGTGGGAGGAGCCAGAGATCGCCCTACAGGGCTCAGTCCTAGGCAGTGGTCTCCACTGGAGGCAAGGAAAAGACTTCTAAGCTACCTCACCAACTCACATCTCTTCTGTACTGGGGCATGCCAGGCACAAGACTAAATACCTTCCCCGACCTCTAGGCTCTTCAGACAAGGCCTCCATGAGTGTCCCTCTATTCCATTCGGTTCTTCCCAGTATGGGATTCAATATTCCGTCTCTCATCCCCCTTACGCCCCATCTTTCTTTCGAGGACCCTGTGCCTGCTTCCCCCATGAGTCCAGCCCACCCACAACTCTCTTTAGCAGTTCCGGCGTGGGTGGCAGTTTCAGAAATCTGCAAGGGAAAAAGTTCCGCTCTCCAGGTTATGAGCTGGGCTCGTATCCCAGAACAGCTGCGGGGTATCTGAGGAAAGAGACCCCGCGGGATTCCTGCAGGCTGATGGCCCCACACCCACTGCATCTTCGCAGCCCAGCAGGGCACGCGCAGTACCTGAGACATACTGACGAGGTGACCGGGATGCCGAAAGCGCGGGAGCACGCTCAGAAGAGGCAGCAATCAAGTTCCAGAGCGTACGGGCTAGCGCCTTTAAAAGCACAACCCCTGCGTTCCAACTGAGCTCGGGCGAGCTGCGGCAGCCAATCAGAAGTCGGGTCTGCTTTCGGGGGCGTGTCCATCCTAGGCCGAGAGCTTCAGCCCTTCCCCGACCCAAGAGGGAGTCTATTGCGCGTGCGCTGGGAGGAGCCGCGGAGCACGTTGGGAGCAGGTGGGACGCGCTACGGTTTTTTTTTTTCCTCCCTTGGGGGAAGGGACGGAAGGGACGCTCTAGGTTAGGGCAGTTGGGCAAGAGCTGGCAGAAACTGAGAACGCGTGAAATGGGATGTTGCGGGAGGAGAGTAGAAATCAGTATGACTCTTTCCCTTTAAATCTCATACCGATTGGAAAGAGGCCGGAAGTTGCATCGTGGTTGAGTAACTTCTCCGCCTTGGAAAAGCGATGTCCTGACCCCTTTCAGGGAATCTAGGGAAGAATCCCCGGTGCACAGCGCAACGATGGCTCGCTGGGCCAAGCCCATACCCAGGCCTTTTCTTCTGAACTTCTGGCATATTCTTTGACTTGCGCACATGTCCGGCACCCCTAACGCGGTCTTGTGTTCCATCGGTGCTTTATAAAGGCGGAGACAGTGTGATATAACAAACTTGCACGAGAAGAGGTGCCCAACAAGCCTTAATTAAGTGAATAAGTTTTCGAATGATTTTTAAACACTTGGTTTGATGAATGCTGACTCCTAGACCTTGGACATGCAGCAGTGGACAAACAAACGAATCTATGCTGCCTTGGAGCTGCTTGCAGTGGGTTTCATAGTTGATGTATTTTAAAATGTAAAGAGTTAGAAGTTGTAACTGATGTGTGTGGGCTGAGGAGTAGATGGTGTTTGGGCAAGCCCTGCAAGTCCGAAGGAGCATTCTAGCCGAGAGCAGGAGTAAGCAGGAGTTACGATGGACACTGAGGTTCCCTTTGAATTCTCAGTCTCATTAATGAAATATTTTAAAACTGATTCTAAAGGAAGCTTGAGGACAATTTTATTAAAGTTTGAGATTTAAAAAAAAAACAAAAACAAAAAAACCAACAAACCAACAGGACAGGCAAACTGAAAATCTCCCAGTGGGGAGAGTTATGCCTGTTAAGCTAGACATGGAGTTCAGATAAACTGAGAAAGCCCAGAGTGTTAGGGAGAGCATGCCTAGAAGTGCGCAGCGGGTTCAGAGGGCTGGGGTTAGAGAGCATTCAAATCCAAGAATATGTGTCCTGGGGAAGGGTCACAGCAGGTTACACGATGAGGCTGGAGAAGTGAGAAAGAGATAGACTGACTAGGTGATGGCAGAGGTGGTTCATTCTGGGCATGCAGGCAGGCATTCTGATGGAGTCTTGGGGGTGAGGAGGGCACTTCTCGGCAGAGGTGACAGTGCAAAGTTGTCTAATTCGAAGTTGTTATGGGGAGAGTGGCTCCGTGGGACAGGAGGGAGACAGCACAAGTGGATGGAAGGATTTAGTGGGCTAAAAAGAGAACTTTCTGGCCTTGGATACAAAGGTGAAAGAGAGGGGTGATAGAGAATTCTCTGGAGGTCATTACAAAGGGGGAGATAGTCCCTCTTCACTTCCTTTTTTTTTTTTTTGGTTTTTCGAGACAGGGTTTCTCTGTGCAGCCCTGGCTGTCCTGGAACTCACTCTGCCCTCTTCACTTCCTAATGTGTGGCCAGAAGCCTGGGCCACAGCTTGCCACCCTCTCTACCCACCACCTCATCACAGCTATGGTAGTTTGCAAAGGCAGGGCTAGGGCTGCTACTCGGTGCTGGAGAATGTCTGCCTAGTATATGTGAGGTCCTGGGTTCCATTCCCAGCCCTGAAAGATGGAAAACTTTAGTAAGTCTATGCTTTCTGATGTCACCGACAGCATCAGTCAGGCTTTGTGGAAGGAGAACTTTAATTGCAGGGAACACAGGTAATTTGTTAGTTTGCGAGCCACTTTGTTTAGAAATCAAAAGTAACAAAAATGTTGGGAGATGAATTTGGGGAAATTGCCTGTGAAGTATAAAAAGTGTAGATTTCTTCCATAGTGGTGATTTGGGGAACCCCCACTTCCCTAAAGTTTCAGATGGATAGTTTGTATTCCTTACTATAATTTTCCTTGTCATTTCTGAAAGAGGAATTGACACCATGGAGCTTTGACTGGACTCACATGCGGTCAGTGGATCGGTGGGAGTGTTACGGTTGTCTGTATGTAGTCTGTATATAGTATGACAGTTTGTATATAGTTCCAGGTTGAGTTGTTGATTGCTTGTAGGAATATAATTCACTTTATTAATTCCAGGTAGTGGTTCCAGATGATTATTTCAGATGGGGCAAGGACATGCTGAAGGGTGTGGATCTTTGGGAGCTAAGCCATCGTGAGCCAGAGGGGACGGAAGAACGTCTCCTTGTGGAGTCTCCCATGCGCCATGTGTCAGTGAATCCGAGGGCATGCTTCTCAGTATACTCTCTGCCTCCCTCCCTTGCTGCTCAGTGACACTTTGTTGGTGTCTCAGCTATGGGAATGTCACTGCGAAGCTCCGCCCTTAGTGCTTCCAGCCCAGGGAGTTTGGATGGCATTTGGAGGCCATGGAGAAACTTGGGCTGTTATTCCTCAAGTGCCTTTCATTTGTTTTGGAGACAGTGTCTCTGTTGTCCTCGAACTTACCAAGTAAACAGGCAAGACTGTCTGGGCTGGTGATCCCCAGGGATCCTTCTTTTTCTGTCTCCCCAGCACTGGGATTATAAGCATATGCCACCATGCCTGGCTGGTTTTGCATGGTTTATAGAAATTGAACTCAAGATTCTCCTGCTTGTGTGGCATGCACTTTACTGACTGAGCCTTCTCAGCACTTGGGATTTAATTTTTAAAAGTAAACTGCCGAGGCAGAACCCGAATGAAGGCAGAAAGGGGAGAACCAAGTCCACAAAATTGCCCTCTGACTGCCATGTATGTGCTGTGTCATGTATGTGCTGTGTCATGCATGAGCTTGCATGTATACACACAGTCCATGAACACACATGGTAATAAAAAATAAACTGCTCAGTACATTTGGGGCAAGTCATGAATTTTTTTGAATTACAAATTTCTATAAAACTAGAACTGGTCATTGCTTTTCATGATCTTGAGTAACCGTGGAGTCCTCAGCTCTACTTATGTCCTCATGAGGGCCTCTGATTATAACTCTTGTAATAACTTCACTTTCCTACTGTCTGCTTTCTCCAATACCTGAGCTAAGGAGGGTAGAGGTCACCATGCACTGGCCACTGCTTATCTCTTTGCGCTTGCTTGCTGTTCTTAGGAACTCAACAAATCCTTATTGACTGAGTACAGTGCCTTTTTTGCTCCTTCTGGCTAGACATAATGGCACCCACTGTGATCCCAGGAGGAGGGAGACCAAACCAGGAGCATCCCTGAGAGTTTGAGGACAGCCTGGGCTCCACACTAAAACCTTGTCTCAGAAAGCAAACAAAAAGGACTTGGGGAATGGTTCAGTTAGTAAAGCATCTGCTCTGCAAACATAGCGACCTGAATCAAGATTTCCAGCCCCCCCCCCCCCCACCACGTAATTCTTAAAATGCATTTTCTGCACCTGGGAGGCTGATTCAGGGAAATTCTAGGAGATTGCTTGGCAGCCATTTTAGCCAATCCGTGAGCTCTGAGTTTACTGAGCGACTGTCTCAAAAAATAAGATGGAGAACGATTGTGGAAGATACCCAGTGTCAGACACACACACGCACACACACACACACACACACACCACATTCATACACATAATACAACAAAAAATGACAAAGAAAAAAATTCAAAAAGTTCCTTTTAATTAGCTGCCAACTTGGAAACCAACAGAATTCATTAGAACTGATTATCAGATCATGGGCTAGAACAAAGCACATGAACTCTGGCCAGAGGCCTATGCAATCTCTTGGTAACACTCCCAGCTTTGGAAGCAGAGGGCTTAGGGAGGGTGGGGAACCTGACCTAGCCAACTCATCAGCCAGACTGACTCAGCCTGTCACTAGGAGTTGTCAGTGTTGCAGCTTGGCCTCGTGATTTTGAATCTGTAGGGTGTCATTCTGGCTGTCCACAGGCTTCCTTGATCTCAGCCTAGTTAGACTGACCAGGTTTACCAGGTAATGGAATTTCTACTTTGAAGCAGGCCTCAGAGCGAATCAGAAAGCAGTTGATTATTTTATAACTATCATGCCACTATTGGACCACTAGGCTTATTTTACCAGGCAGGTCAGTATCATAGCACGCAGGATCCAACACTGAATAAGACCTAGCAGTTTGCACTATACCTCTGGCTATGTAAGCTAGCCAGCAGGTAGAGTTTCTTGTGACTTTGAGGTTGATTTCTGTGTCTATATCCATGGGTTTCCTGTATTTTAAGCTTAACCCAGATGGGCAAGACACATGAACAGGTGAAAACTGCCTATTGGGTGCGAAGAACGGTTTAAGATTAAGTTTCTTTCTATAAAGTAAACCTCTAATTTCTAAAAGTAACCTAATCATTAAGAAAAGAGTTAAGAACAAGCTAATGCTTCGTGAGAGCTTCCGTGGAAGGCAAGAGTGTTCCCACACACCCAATTAACACTCAGAACCTGGTTTCCATTTTCTTGGAATGTGACTCCTCTGGCCAGGCTCCAGCAGCACGGGCGTGGGCGTGGGGGATACTGTGCTTTTAAAGGGATGGGGAAGTGCTTCTGGGATAGGAGTGGGGAGGGAAGGGCAGGTGCCTGGGCTCCGTGAAGGTTGAGGGAGGTAAGAGCCCAGAGAGTGGGGTAGGAAGGTAAGGATGACTTTCCTACACTGCAGGAAATGGAGGTTTTCGAGCCGGAGCTCTGCACGGTCCTCTTCTTTGCCTTCCTCAGAGGTTGAGAGGAGCTGCATCAAGGTGGTGTTAGAGGCACATCCTGGGTTCCATTCTTTACCGTCCTCTCCTCTTTCATACCCAGGCAGCATGGGTGTGGTACCCAGTGGTGGCAGCCTTGGACATCACGAGAGCTTGAGGGTGGAAGATGGTAGGGAGGTGTCCTTGACTCACTGGGAGAAAGGGAAGGATTGGATGTTCTAAGTCATCCTCCGCTACATATCCTGTCTTCACATCTTTATGTGTTCACATGTGTCTGTGCGTGGGCGTGCATGCACATGCATGTATGTTTTAAGGCCAGAGGACAACCTCAGCTGGTGTTCCTCAGGCACATCTACCTTTTACTAATTTTGTTATTTTTGCACATTCCTTAAAATTTATTTTTTAACTGTGTGTATGTATATGTGTCTGTGTGAGGGTATGCTGTGTGTGTGCAGGTGCCCACGGAAGCCAGAAGAGGAAATCAGTTCATCTTGGAACTAGAATTATAGGTGGCTGTGAACTGCTTCATTTTTCTTACTGAAAATCTGTGCGTGTGCGTGTGCGTGTGCGTGTGCGTGTGCGTGTGTGTGTGTGTGTGAGAGAGAGAGAGAGAGAGAGAGAGAGAGAGACAGACAGAGAGAGAGAGAGACAATGTGAGTGTTCAAAGGTCAGTTTTCAGGGGTGACTTTCCGCCTCCACTCTCTCTCTCTCTCTCTCTCTCTCTCTCTCTCTTTTTTTCTGCTCCTCTGCATCCTCCATGCTAGCTGGCCCTCAAGGTTCCAGGTGCTCTTCCGGTCTCTGCCTCTTACCTCACTGTAGGAGTGCTGGGATCACAGCCATGAGCCTACACATCCGGCTTTTCACGAGGGCTCTGGGAACTGAGCTCGGGTCATCAAGCTTACAAGGAAAAGGCTTTTCTCTGCTGA